AGAGAGAGAGAGAGAGAGAGAGAGAGAGAGAGATACGTAGAGAGAGAGGAACACAAACAGACAGAGGCACGAGGGGAGGGGGAGGCCTACTCGAGCCCTTCATTTCTCGCTCTCTGCAATTCTCTTTGCCTTTACCTCAAGTTTCGAGCGCCTTATCGGTCAAATCATGCGGTAAGTTGTTTGCTCTCTTGTTTACATATATATATAAGAGAGAGATAATTCATTTTTTGACGTTGATTCTGTGCCAGATGTTGACGAACTGATCCGGAGAATGTTCGCCCTGTCGTACAGTCCCGTGACTCTCACTCTCAGCTTCGAGGTGGACGCCGTGGCGGAACAGAATGGTGTCGCCGTGTACCCAGAGTACGAGGTGATGTACACCAACACCACTGATCTCACCCGTGAGTACTTATGCTTTGTCACTCTCTTACATTTTCCCTCAAATTGTGAGGTTCTCGCCTTCACACTAGTATGACTCAGTCCTGTCTTGTTATGAAACTAACCCCGTAGAAACGAAGCTTTTTGGGGTGGATCCAGTCTACCTTTTATCTTAATGACATAAATACGATAAAGTGAAAATGTGGTTAACTAAGCAGTAATGAATATGTTTCATTTCATCTCTATGTTTCAAATGATTGTACTTTCAAATTCAGTTCGTGTTACCTTCAATGGGTTTTCCTTTTGTTTTGTTTTGTTTTCCAACCATTGAACCCATCTTCTGTTTTTCGACATGTATTTGCTAACATGGGATGAGAGCTTGAATAGGCGTAGGTTCTCAGGGAGTTTTTATCTTCCTTGGCAAATATTTTTTCTAGATGTCAAGCCTTGGTGGGATACCGAGTTTTCCTTCCTTGATCTGGCCTCTGCAGTGTTAGGACGGGTTAAACTCTGAGCAAAAAATGTAAACTGCTATTTAACCCTTGATACTTTATCTTTTTAATACTTGAAATAGCACCAGAAAAGATCAGTGGTATAGGTTATGCAAGGCTAACAAATCTTGTAAGTTGTATTAAAATCTTGACATTGTATGAATTGCGTGATCCCCTGTTTGTCTAGACAACTGGCGCCGGCGTGTGGTCCGGCCCGTGGACGTCAGACTTCACCAGGATCAGTCTCAAGAGGAGCAGCCGGACCAAGCGCTGACCACTGAGAGAGCCATTGTGGTGGACAATCGTGCATACGTCACCATAGCCGGCATGTACCCCAACACCACGTACTATGTGAAGATTCGTCGACTGGCTGATGATGCGACAGACCAAGGGGACCTAACGTCTGCTAACAGCACACATCACCAGACATCTGCCATGGTGGTGATAAAAACTATGCCCTTGAAAAGTGGTGAGACTCCTGTATATTTGAAACAGTAACATTCCCTCTTAATTTTGCTCCTATAATGACACCTTTCATTTATCCCCAGCCCCTTTTCTTTATCCACTTACTGCCGGAGAGAACAATGTCGTCGACTCGACTCTCAATCCACAGCAATAGACACTTAAGTTCCCATTTTTGCCTATCGTCCCCTGTTATTTCTGTTAACTTTCTCACTTTCTCAAAGAACCTGCAAGTTTTCCACAGCACACAAAGTAACCACTACCCAAGTTAGGGGGACGGGGTGTGATGCGCCGAAGAGGCTAAAGTGTATGTTCACAAGTTCAGATGGGCGAGGAAATAACCCTCAGTATGTTGCAAGCGCTCTATTCACTCAAACAAAAGTAAAACAATAAAGAAATAATGATATCGAGGGAAAAATTGAATACGCACTAGAGTACATGTCGAAATAAACAGGTGTAAATGTAATCTCATGTGCGACTTTGGAATCGATTCCACAAAATGAGAAGAGGTCTCCCATATGTGACAGGACTCCCACGGATCACAGGTCACTGATCACCTCGTTGTTGGGAGGAGAAACATACTACTCAAATGCACTAGAGAATTCAGGTTATCTCCCAACAGTCTTTAATTTAGCGCACTGAGCACTGAATATTCAAAAGGGGAGAGAATTTAGCCATTGTTAGAGCATTGGAAGTTTAAACAATGGATGCTGATTGTTGAAAAATGGCCTTCATAATGATATTATCTTATTCTTTGAATCGTTGTCCGGTAGTCTAGTCACCCATACACATTTATTACAACATGTATTTCCAATACTGTTGTTATTGCTGTTGTTGTTATTGCTGTTGTTGTTATTATTGTTGTTGTCGTTATGGTTTATGTTGTCGTTGGTCTGTTGTTTTTGTTGTTGTTGTCATTGTTGTTGTTTTTGTTGTTGTTGTTGCTGCTGCTGCTATGTTTTGTTGCTGTCGTTGTTGTTGTTGTTGTTGTTGCTGTTGACGGAGTTATGCCAAGATGTTATGCTTAGTCTGGCAGTTAAATGGGATAGCTTAAACTTAAACGAAGCACAATCCAGCAAAGGACTGTAAACAACGTTACAATATTCATGATTTTTTTAAAAGTGGAAAGGGAGTTCACACGATCACACACTCACTGACACAAGGAAAGGGAAGTCCATAATATACTCACTGACGTGAACTAAGCATTTGTTGTCTTTCAGTTGAGTTAACAGGTTTGGGGGTCCTTTGTCATCGTGCAGTCACTCTGACTCTTAAAATAGCTACATGCCCGTCTCATTCACAGCTTTCTCGTTACTGCCCTTTCTATTCTACTGTCCATTTTGCACGGTCTCCCCTACTACGTTTAATCCCTCTTCCTTCTGGATGTTTTTCAATTGTTCTTAATAAATACCGAGTCGAGTTATACTCTTTCCATCTCTGTAACAAAGAACAAAATAAAATCCGATCGCAGTAGTTAAGTATAAAAGATAGTATTCGGTTGTTTTTTTAAAAATAAAGTCAAAATTGTCTAAAACGGCCACACATTATGTAGGGGTCAAGTGGCCGTCTTAGATAGGTTGCCGTCTTACACAATATCAAAATAATGTTTTTTAAAATACACAAGGGAGGAAATGAGAAGTGGCCGTTTGTACAGGTGAATGTCTTATACAGGTGGGGCTTTGAGCAGGTCCGACTGTATTCATTCCCATTCTTTAAAAGCTCGACGTTGTGCACAACTTTTGGGGTCAGCCATGGGGTTCCAGTGGGATTGGTACTATGCCTTACTGGAATGGGGGTGAACCGGCTATAATCGTCGATGTGTGCAAAGACATGCAGAGCCACAATTTGCTATAACGGTTTCCTCTCCAGTAACATCGTGTTTTCATGCTGGTCAAGAAGTGCCCCACGAGGAACAAATTCCAAGTCATTGTAGCCAGGTGTGCACTTGCCGGTTCGGCCAGATCGTGTGTGAGAGCGCGTGTCCATCAGAGCATGGCCTCATCGCCGTGTCTCCCTCCTGCCCGCGACCACGTTTAGAGAAGACGGGGGGAGAATGCTGCCCAACGTGGAAGTGTTACCCTTCTGGTAAGTGCTCAGAGTCAGAGGCGATGTGGTGGACAGCGAATTGCATGTGACAGTCGTCACAGGTTTTGTTTTTGTGTTCATATTTGTTGGTTTATAAGATCATATGTTATATTATGGTCGTGGTAGTTTACTTTCTTTGCTCGGTTGGTTGGGGGGGGTTTTGGTGGGGTTTATTTCGGAGTTTTGTTTTGTTGAAGTTTTTTTGCTTTAAATTGTTTGACTGGTGTGTTTAGTTTTTCTGTTATCTTTGTTCAAGCTGTTCTTTTTCTTCTGTTCTTTCTTTGTTGTTTTTACTTTTGTTTTTGGTGGTTTATTTGTTTCTTTTTGGGGGAGGTGAGATGTCAATGATTAGCAACCACCCCCAACCCCATATGTCTTTAAAACCTCGACTGTCCTGACGCCCCCCC